CCTTAGCAGTATCGGGGTGAAGCGTGCCTCCATGGCTGCATCCCTGCCCAGCGTCCGGGAGCTCCGGCTTGGCTACGGCCGTGCCAAGTTACACCGGGCTCACAGCTCTGCACCAGAAAAGCAAGGGAAATAATTCCATGCAAGCAGCAAGGTCAGAGGCGTGGTGAGCAGTGGGGAGCCCTTCCTCAGGCTTCCCCGGGTTTGTTTTCCTTTTGATGGTCAAATCTGGATGGGGAAAAATGAGGTGATGGGGAAAAATGAGGATGAGGTGCCCAGGCAAAAGTATCTCACATCGGTCTCCATAAATGTGGACGAGGTGGGTGTTCTCTTAAGCTGCGGTGCTGCCTCTGAGCATCCCCGCGCCCCTCCGGGATGACAGTCTTCCACTCCTCCAGCTTGCCATCCAGATTTTGCATCCCTTTTCGGCAAAGCCCCGTTCCAACCAGCCGCTTGGGAAAACCCCCTCCTGGAAGCAACACCCTTCCTTCCCCAGACCTGCCCCACCTGGAGCACCTGATTCCCGCTGCCAAGAATAAAAGCTCAGTGCTTTAACAGAAAACAACCTTCTCCTTTTAGAGCTGGGTCATAAACCCGAAACGCTGACAAAGGTAGTTAGATTACACCTGTACAAACAGGCACTAATCAAAAATATGCTCCATAAACATAAGCTTTCAAAACAGAGCTCTGTAGCGCTGGTGAGTATGGAGCGTGTTTATTTATCCATGGGTGAACTTGCTGATTTACCCCATAAATCCTTAAATAAAGGCACCACCTGCTTTTTTTTTTTTTTTTCCCTCCTTCCCCTTTTCCTTGAAGCAAAACCATCACGCTAGGGTGGCCTCGGCGAATGCTCCCGTGACAATCTTGTGAAGACTTATAAAGCGTGAGCTGCCGGCACAGGAGACAATAAAGCTCCTGTTCCATCTCAGGTGACCTCTAATGCAAATCCATTCAGTCCCAGGGATCTCACAGCTCCCGTGCCATGCCAGCACTAAGAGGATGAAGCCTCGGAGAAGCTGAATTCTTTTTGATGCTGCCAAGCCTGTTTGCCTCCTTCCCTGCCCTTCCGTTCTTTGAAAGCAGTTGCCGTTATGACACAGTATCTCCATCTGGCAGGGTGAATAAGCAGATCCACCCAGAGCCATCAAAGAAGAAGTGAGTCAACGCTAGAGATTTAAAGAAGTATTGTGAGATTTCATTTCAAGCTAAGGGGATTGCTTTCAAATAGCTCCCTTTAAAGTATTAAACCCAAGGCAGTGGCGCAAATGCAGCGGAGCCTCCGGACCTCCTACTCCTACCGCCCTTCTGCAATCAGCCAGCTACTTCTGGTCCCCGAGTCACTGCTGCCTACGCCGACCTCCGAGGTTCTGCTCCTGTTGCTGTACAGGAGCTGATCAGCCAGGATTGGCACACACCCCAAACCTTCTCCCAATTTTTCAATGCTTAATGGTTATTCCATCCCCGCCCTGCATGCCAAGACTGCTTCCATGCCTGGTCTGCCAATGAAAGCAACAGGCACCGGCACCGTAGAGCAGCAGATCCCCCAGCCCGTCCCCAGGGACCGCCGGGACATTACACGGGTAAGCAGGGGGAATCACTTGGTGCAGCAAGGCTCCCCAAACGCTTTCACACCAAGTGCGCTGCATTTGGGATGGGAGCTTTTGTTCTTTGCTCCCCAAGAAGAAAGATCATGGCCCGGGAAGCTTGGTCCCACTTTTGTAACAGGAAAGCCCAGAGCGTCCTGTTTTCGGTCTGAAATGAGAACGTCTCGCCCCCTCTTTAGTACGCTGCTGCTGCGGAGAGAGCAGGCAATCAGACGTCTGCAGTGGTTTGCTTAGGTGTGGAGGAAATGTGGGAATGTAATTTGCAGTAAATAACCCCATTTTCCAAGCCAGCAGGCTAGTGAGACTGCCTAATCCCAGGGTTTCCCGATATCCGCCCAACAGAAAGACTCCCCAGCCACCCCTCACTGGTTTGTGAAATACTTGGGCTACATATCTCACGTCGCTCACTTTTGCGGCAGCTACGCCAAGCCTCTCTGCTGGAGGTTCCTGCTTTCAAACCAAGGTCATCTGCCATCCCGGTAATTAGTGTCACTACAGCAACATCGCTATGTTATGCAAAGTACATTAAATGATTGCAAACAACATCTGATAATGTCTGATGGGCGCTTGTGCTCCCTGTTGCTAGGTTTACTCAGAGCAGGAATAAGACTCGGCCAGATCGTGCCCACCAACAGCTCGAGAATCTCTGGTGGCTATTACAGGCACAACCCCGGAGGTCTGCGTTTCTTCGGTGCCGAGTTACGTACCTGAATACACGTCCCAGTGCACTCCTTGCAGAGGCTGCAGGACAAAGCCCATCTGTTTGCTGGGATATGTGAGATCTTTGTAATGGGTTCCATTTTTTCAGGACATCCAATGCTCACCTGGTCACGAAATAGAAGACAAGTTGTAAGTACTGGTTACCATCCCAAATCTCCTACAGGGTCACGTCTGTGGCAGTCTGAATGGGGGATGGAGTTATTTGTTATTTTTCAGGGTCACTTGTAATTTGGGGAGAAAAAAAAAACCAACAAAAAACCCCCAAACCCAGAAACAAAGCTGGATGAAATGGAAGGAAAAATTTATGCCAGTGTTTCCTCTGAACTAATCCCTCACCTGGATGTCGCCGTGCATCTCAGATGGGCACACGAAATCAGCGTTACCCTGCCCAGGCAGGTCCCGTGACTGCCCCCCACCTCTGCGCCCTTGCACCCCACCTCTGCATCCTCCCTTAACGGGGTGCCGCGTGGCTGCTAATTAAACACAGCCCGATGACGGACCGGCATCGCGCCTCTGCCCTCAGCACGGCTTGATGAGCCAAACTGGACTTGCTGTTTCGACCACTAATGAACAACCTGGGCTCAGAGCTGGAAACCAGGTCCGTGCCCAGGAGGCTGGAAAACATCTTACTTCAGGTATCCATAAGGCACAGCTAACGTGGACCCATTTCGTCCCGCTCCGGGTGGGCTTCAGCGCTCCCCCTCTCTTCGGGCACAGCAGACACTTTGGCTGAACGCCGAGGGCGCAGGTCCGGCACAGCCAGCTCCCGATGGGGACCTTCAGGATGCCGTAGCACGCCTGCGCAGACACGAGGGAGGTGGGTTAGTCCCAGCAGCCCGGGAAGAGCATCCTCCAGGGCCTCCTCCTCCACTCCTACCTTCTCCACTACCGCTGGCTTATCGCCACCGCATCTGGGCATCGCAATAACAAACAGCAGATGTGGAGCAGCTCCGCGATCACGGACGGCGAGGTTAAGCTCTTCCTTCCTCGCTACCTTCCCCGTTTTCATGTGGGTACTTATGCCAGATCAGTATGTCCTGGGTTTTAATTAAAAGCTGAGTACACCAGCGCGCTGTGTATCACGCCGAGCATCCCCCTGGGGCGGGGGGAAAAGCAACCCGGCTGCTCCATCAGAGCCCCCGCCACCGACAGCTCTGCGGCGCGGACGTCTGCCCACTCATCTCCTGCCCGCTTCCGAACCGCTACCGGACCCACGGTGACGCAGAGAAGTAAGAAATGCCACGCGGAGAAAAACTCCGAGGTAGCTGCGGGCTGAAAAGCCACAACCCCGTGATTGAGAAAGACGGCCACACTGGTTACGCGCCCAACGCAGCCTGCAGGGGAAGCGAAAATAACTCCGGGAAGGTAAAAAGGGGAAACCGATAGTCATGAATATAAATGAGCAGGGAGGAACCATAAAGGACGATAAATCTAAGGGACGATAAATCCGCACGAGGCAAGGACAAGTCTACGGACAAGAGAGCGAGAACTAAAGGACTCGGGGCGCCCACGGAGCTCCCCGACCCGCTGTGATAGCGCAGGGTGCAGCGAAGCCGAAGCGCTTCATAAATATTTCCCTTCCATACTTGGGGAAGAGCCAAATGATAAGCCGTATCACATAACGATGATGATAAAATACTTCCCACTTCGGCCGTAACTTATGACTCTATTAAACAGCTAGTGCTAAAGCTCGACAGTTTTTAACCGGCAGGTCCCGCTAACTCGCACTTAAAAGGTTTTCAGAGAGCGGCAGACAACTGCCTTGGGTGCCAGCGCGGGGCTGTGTCACTACTTCACGCGAGGCGATGTAATTAATTCTAGATCTGGCTGCTCTGACGGCCCTCCAGAAGGCAAGCGGGCAGCGTCGATACGGAACCCTGCCGCTTGTTGGCTCTAAATGGAGCCCAGGCATCTCTCACCTCCACTTTTTGAAGTTTAGCCCCAAAACCAACAGTTTTTCGGCCTGCTGCAGGTCACCGTCACCGGGAGCGACAGCGCTGCGGGGGAGGATGGGGCAGAGGGGACACGCGGAGATGCGCGAGCGGGGGAAAAGCGTGTCCTCGGTCTTCACTGGCCAAGAACAGGCTTTATAACATGACTTTAGCTTGCCCCAAAGCACAAATTGACTCTGATAGTGATTTCCAAGGGGAAAAAACCACTTCATGAACAGATTATTGGGATAATAAGGAATTAAGGGAGGTAATATTATTGCTGTGAGCCTACACGGTTCAGAGACTTAACTGTGTGTTTCACAGCGCCTCCAAATCTGACAGATAAATCATTTCTGTAACAGAGTTTTATAAAACATCTGATTTAGTACCAGACAAAAATCAGCCTGGTATGTATCACCAGGAGAATAAACTGGCAGACTGATCTCAAAATCCAGGGGAAAACAGGAATTATGACCAGGTGTGCATCTCTAGCAGCGTCTTGGCGCTCGGTTATTTATTCCTAGAAGTTTTAGAGCTCCTAGGAGCAAACACTACGGGGCCTCTGTCCCAGCCAAGGAGCGGCTCTGGAAATGAGGTGGGTTATCGGCTAAACACGCTGTCCCAGTCCAGCAGCAGCCAGAAGGTGCTCCGGGAACACGGAGCCAGAGCAATGCTGACTAGAAGCAGAGCAGCTATTTTTATCACCGCGCCTGTCACGGGCTCAACGTCACCGAGAAGGGAACGCCGAAACACCAGGGAGGATGCCGAGCCACAGAAAAGCTTGGTGTGATCCACGGAACAAGAGGGAGGGCTCGGCCGTGTCCCCACGCCAGGGAATGGGAATTTGGGAATGACAGGACCACGGCGCGGTGGCTGGAAGCTGGAGATGGATCATTCCCGTGCTGAACAGAAGTGCGACGTTGCCGCCACGAGAGCAATGAACCGCAGTGATTTAGCAGCGGGGCAGGGTGGAAGATTCCTCCTCGCTGAAAATTTTAAAATGAAGATTGCATGTGTTTTCTAAAAGCTACGCTGCATAGGAATTAATTAAGAGCAAGCCTCGTGGCTTGTGTTATGCAGATGAGATGATTACAACGATCCCTTCCGGCACCGTAACCCACCAACATGTGTCTGAGCAAAACCCTTCCTCTGCCCCTTCCCACTGGGATGCGGGAGGATGAGGCATCACTCCGGCCGTGTCCCCCGGGACCCCAGCTCCCCTCCGCCGCTGCCCAAATCCATGGAGCAGGTGGCAGTGGCACCCGGTTCCCCCCAGGAAAGCCCCAGCAGGTTTTGGACATGGGGCTGGCAAAGGCACGGGGAAGGTTAGATTAAAAATATGATGCCACGTAACACCCCGTGCTGTGGCTCTGGACTTTGTGGCTTAGGGCGTAAATGGGAGCAGGGATTAAATCACAGGCAGCTTCCAGGCTGGCATCAGGCTTAGGGCTGGACTCCGCTCCCTGAAAACAGCAGAAAATCTCCTTTTTCTTGCAACAGCCTTGAAAT